ACCATATGCCTACTGATCAATTCCAACAATATGCCTACTGATCAATTCCCACCATATGACTACTGATCAATTCCCACCATATGACTACTTATCAATTCCCACCATATGCCTACTTATCAATTCCCACCATATGACTACTGATCAATTCCCACCATATGACTACTGATCAATTCCTACCATATACCTACTTATCAATTCCCACCATATGACTACTGATCAATTCCTACCATATGACTACTTATAAATTCCCACCATATGCCTACTGATCAATTCCCACCATATGACTACTGATCAATTCCTACCATATGCCTACTTATCAATTCCCACCATATGACTACTGATCAATTCCAACAATATGCCTACTGATCAATTCCCACAATACGCCTACTTATCAATTCTCACCATATGACTACTTATCAATTCCCACCATATGACTACTGATCAATTCCTACCATATGACTACTTATAAATTCCCACCATATGCCTACTGATCAATTCCCACCATATGACTACTGATCAATTCCTACCATATGCCTACTTATCAATTCCCACCATATGACTACTGATCAATTCCAACAATATGCCTACTGATCAATTCCCACAATACGCCTACTTATCAATTCCCACCAGACTACTGATCAATTCCTACCATATGACTACTTATAAATTCCCACCATATGCCTACTGATCAATTCCCACCATATGACTACTGATCAATTCCTACCATATGCCTACTTATCAATTCCCACCATATGACTACTGATCAATTCCAACAATATGCCTACTGATCAATTCCCACAATACGCCTACTTATCAATTCTCACCATATGACTACTGATCAATTCCTACCATATGCCTACTTATCAATTCCCACCATATGACTACTGATCAATTCCCATCATATGACTACTGATCAATTCCCACCATGACTACTGATCAATTCCCACCATATGACTACTGATCAATTCCCACCATATGGCTACTGATCAATTCCCGCCATATGG